CAGATGTCAGCTGTGTAACACTGTGGACGCCTCTGTGCCTCAGTCTACTCATCATAAAGTGAAGATAATAGTACGTACCTCGTAGGCTGAGTGTGAGTCACAGTAGTCTTTATAGGTAAAGCACTCAGGACACTATTTGGCGCATTCTAAGTGCTCAACAACGGGTTGGCTGCTATCATCGTCATCATCACTTGTGATTGTGATTAGGATTATCATGATTACAGAGCTACTGGAAGTCAAATTTGTTCCATCTTGGTTTGTCTAACTGCTTTCTGAAATTTTTTTTCTTCCTCTATGAGTGTGCTGCACTTTCAGGACCAAGAAACGAACGGGACTGGGCTCTCTAACAATGGAACAGGGTCCCTCGTGAGGAGTGAGCTGCACTGCGGTCACTGCTGAGGCGGGGAAGAGATCTGCTACAAGCCTTGCAGTGCTGATCCCTGCACCGTGGAGAGGTTGGAAGAGGGCCTTCAAAGTCCCCAATCTAATAAATGTTACGTGAATCATCCAGGGGTTCCTTTCAAGCTCTGGATCCTGTGACTGTTTACCAGGTCTCACGTGCAGTGTTAGCAAGTGGCCATGCCAGGAACCTGCAGTTACACTCTGAACTGGGTGGGAACTAATGCTTTCACTGAAAAACAGGAATCTTTCATTTCCTCCTGTGTTCTGAAGAGTGAATTTCCACAGAAGTAAACCAAGTTTGGTGACTCAAGTCTCTGAGCAATTCGAGAGAGGAAATTGCGAAATTGTTCAGAAAAGTACTTACAATTTGCCAAAAGGGGGAGCACAGGAGCAGAAAGCATAGGTGTCCAAGTCTTTAAAAAATACTTGTTTGGATTCTGTGTTTTAGTTTTTTATTTTTTTTGCAAGGATGGGATGAAACTAAACGACAGGCATGGCCAACTTTCTCTTTGTAAAATTGTCTTAAGACAGGAGAGACAAATATTGAAAACATACCGTTAACTTTGAATGACCCTTTCTATCCTCCTCAGGTAAAAACACTCACCTCATGCCCGGCTGCCACACAGCCCACAGCTCTCACTAAACTGCTCTCATTAAAAGGGAAAGGAGAAGGAGAAACAGTTACATATTCAACAAAAATGTAACTTTATTTCTCTCCTGGCTGCCACGGATTGTTCAAAAACAGGATTCGTTGCATATATAATCTAGAGCTCACCTTCGCTACAACAATGGAGAAGTTATTGATATAAGTGAGTTGAATAAAAGTTACCCACTCCCTAAGGCTAAACACTCCTTCCTGCCAAGCAAGAGGAATGATGTAAGCGCCTAGAACCCTTTGTAGAAACAAGTCTTTGATTCACACTCATTAGTCACTAACGTTGGGTGAATAAAATGCTTGTCTTATTGGGGTTTCTATAAAACACACATCTCCATACGAACTCATTTTCCAATACAAACTTGATCTGTCTTTGTAAAGGCAGCTTTGGCAAGCTACCCATTTGTGCATAGTTTCAAGTTCAGAAGAAATTGGCAAATTTATATATTTTTAGTTTGAGCAACATATTCAGTCTCTTATTTTACTGCAATTGCCCTTTTATCATGTTAGCTTAAAAAGGTAAGAAACAAACATACTTGGAAAATGCAGAATGGAAAATTTACCAGAAGTTTTATATATGTTATATAAATGAATTAGGTAGAATAATACATTTAGATTTATTTGACAGGTTACTGAAATGACTTCTTTTATTATTGCTGCCCGCTGAATTAAAGCAAAATGATAGAAAGTATTAATCTAAAGAAGAAAGTTAAGGGCTCTGCAATTTCCTGAGATCTGGTTGGACTTCCATCTGCCTTTTTTTTTTTTAAGTATAATTTCTATTGATTTCAGAAAGGAAGAGAGAGAGAGATAGAAACATTAATGAAGAGAGAGAATCATTGATCGGCTACTTCCTGCATGCCCCACACTGGGGATCGAGCTAGCAACCCAGGCATGTGCTCTGACTGGGAATCAAACTGTGACCTTCTGGTTCATAGGTTGATGCTGGCTGGGCTCCACTGGTCTTTAGACAGTGTGCTAAGACCCTGCTGGCATATTCTCTGGACTTGGAAAATCCATGATCTTGGATTTGGTTGGTAACAGATTTAGAACAGACAAGATACTATCTACACTAATAAAAGAGAAACGTGGTAATTAGCATACCACTGCTACCCTTCCCATTGGCTAATCAGCATATCCTTATGCAAATTAACTGTCAGTCAAGATGGCGGCCGGCAGCCATTCACTGAAGTGAACAGGAAGGCTTGCTTGCTCCAGTGACTGTGGACTCCAACGTTCCCCGACTGCCGCTGCCGGCCTCTCAGCTGCAACTATGTTGCAAATATAGAAGCTAAACAAAACAAAACCCTAGAAACCAGCTTTCAGTCAGCAGGCTTCAGCCAGCCTGACCGCAACATTGTATCAAATATAGAAGGAAAAACAAAGGCCAGAAACCGGCTTTCAGCAGCCCAGGCCTCAGAGCTAAAGCTGGCCCAGAATAAAAAAAGAAAAAAGAAAAAAAGGAGCGGTTGGGAGCTTCAGCCCCTCACCCAGGCTGGCCAGGCACCCCAGTGGGGACCCCCACCCTAATCCAGGACACCCTTCAGGGCAAACCAGCCGGCCCCCACCCGTGCACCAGGCCTCTATTCTATATAGTAAAAGGGTAATATGCCTCCCGGCACCGGGATCAGCGTGACAGGGGGCAGCGCCCAAACCCCCTGATCGCCCTTCGGCTCTGTGTGTGACAGGGGGCGGGGCCACAACCTCCCCATCCGCCCTGCTCTGTTCGTGACAAGGGAAGGCGCCCCAAGTCCCTGATCAGCCCTGCTCTGTGCCTGATAGGGGGTAGCTCCCCAACCCCCTGATCGCCCTGTGGCTCTATGTGTGACAGGGTGCAGCGCCCCAAGCCCCTGATCGGCCCTGCTCTATGGGTGATAGAGGGCGGCGCCCAA